CTAAACAAAATTCCACTAATGAAGAATCCTTTCTAAAAGTTCTACTCAGAAAAAAAAAAAAATCAAAGTATTTTTACTTCATCTAGCACTAATAACAATTGCTTCACTCTCTTGGGTTGTGTTTGCACCCAGCATAACCCAGGTCACATGCACTGGTACAAAATGCTAAATCTGATTAGTTTTAACCTTGGTTAGTTTGTGTGTTGTGTGCATGATTCAGTGGCTGAGCTAAGTCAGCCACTTTATGATGCAACTCTGCCAAGCCAGAAAATAAGTTAATTCAGCAATCAAGTTAAGCGTGTTGTGCAAACTCAGCTGGTATGTATGTTTGATTATGCATGCACTTTTTAAAGTTATAATATTTTGGGGTCTCCACTCAGTGCAATGAGCAGTTACAATGATTTGACAAAATTCTCTATCTGGGTACAAAATACTGAACGTGTTAACCTTCCCCAAGCCTAAATTACAACTAATGGGTATTTGTAAAGATGAAGAGTGACATTAACCATGATAAAGAGAGCCAGTCTGGTGTGGTGAAGGGGCTGGCCTAGAAACCAGGAGATGGTGAGTTCTAGGCCTCCCTTAGGCATGAAATCCAGCTAGGTGACTTTGGGCCAGTCCCCCTCTCTCAGCTCAACCCACTTCACAGGGTGGTGGTTGTGGGGAAAATAGGAGGGGAGAGAGTATTTTGTACACTGCCTTGGATTGTACAAATTAAAGATGGGTCATCATCATCGTCATCATCATCATCCTGCTTCTTAACTATAATAAAAAGGAGCAACAGAACTAAGTTTGGGTACACACAATGGTGCATTTCAGAACTTGTTATCAGATGTATTTGTAAAATTATCTGTACAGTACAATTGGTAACGTTTTAATGGTTTTTACGGAATTTACATCCAGAGCCAAGTGCAAGTTTAGGGCTGCAGATGTAGAAGTGTGAAGGCAACAGACATCCTTGAATATTTTGTTTGCATTGCTTCATTTAATGCCATTGGCTGATACCCCTTTGTGCAATGGGAGAGAACCCAGTTCAACTGCACAAGACTCCATTTGTTTGTAGAACATCCCAGATTCACCTCACAAGGAGCCATGTGATCAGCAGTATTCCCACAGCATTATCAGATGACATCCATGGGACCCCAAAAAAGAAATTTAAAACAAAGAGGTGAGTTGATGAGATTTGGTCATCTAATGAGATTTTGGTCATATTTAATCTTCTTCTGGTACCTGATGACTCTAAAGGCTGCTGACCCCTGATTTTCAGGACACAGGAAGCCACAAACTCTGTTTTACAAACCATAATTAGCTAAAGTTTCAAAACACAGTAAGCCTTCAACCATGATTTATAAACTAGGGGCTGGGTTTGCACCCGATTAAACCAGAACCAAACAAAGCATGTTACGGTTCTGTGCAATGTGTGAATCCCACCAACCTAAAACAGCCCTGGGCATGAAAGAACCTTGCAGGATTGTTGAAAAAGCAGGATCAGATAACCCAAACAACTCCAATTAATTATTTCAATTAATGACTGGAAATCACATTAGTTAGAATGGGCTAGTTGGGATGCAACTTTAAGGAATTAATGGCACAGGATTCCTCAACCTTGACGACTTTAGGACAGGGTTCCTCAACCTTTAGGTTCCTTTAGGACAGGGTTCCTCAACCTTGACGACTTTAGGACAGGGGTTCCTCAACCTTGTCGACTTGAAGATGTGTGGACTTCAACCTTGACAGGGTTTAGGACAGGGTTCCTCAACCTTTAGGACAGGGTTTAGGACAGGGTTCCTCAACCTTGACGACTTGAAGATGTGTGGACTTCAACTCA